TTTCATTGTGCAATCTCGGACACATTCTATACGTTAAATTTTTATGCTAATGTAAATACTTTTTAACTCACATATATTTTATCTAACATATAAACTATATATATATTTTTAATAAATAAGCATTCTTCATACGTGTATTAAATTTGCAGAGTTTTTTGAATATCTTTCATGTTGTAATTTATATACAATGAGTGCAAAAAATATTCGTACAAGGAAAATATTTTTTTAAAAAACCTTATTTTTGAAAAGTAAATATAAACATAGTGACGCAGAGCGTAACGTGACTGTTCTCTGTGCCAAAGATCCAGAATTCAAATCCACCCAGAACATGAAATTAAATTTAATTTCTCTTATAGATATACTAAAGTAGCGCACAGGTCCATCACTTTTTATCTACTAATCATACCCTATACCAGAGATGGGCATGTATTTGAAATACTTTTATTTGAAAAACAGTATTGGTAAGACAATGAGATTTTGTGTTTGTTCAGAGTACATGAAAATATTTTGTATTTTGTATTTCATGGAAATACTAACGTTGATAATCAACCTTATTATTTGAATTACAAGATACAAAAAGCTTTCAATCTTTCAATTTTAAATACAAAATACGTAATACTTTTATGTGATCCGCTAAAATAAAAAATACAAAATATGCTTGTATTGCAAATAGTGTGGTTTAAATAAAAGTATTTCAAATACATGCCCAACTCTGCCCTATACCAATAATACTAAGCGCTTATTGGACTATGGACAACTAAATCGAAATAGCGGTCAAAATAGCCAATAGGAAAGTTATCGGTATTTCGGCTCATATAAAAGGAATGCACTACTTTGATATATCTAGAGCTTTATATGAAATTTTATTTGATCGCTATTTCTCGGAAGGCAATGGCAAACCTCCGAGAGTATCTTTGCAATCGCCGTTCGGATTCGGTGTTAAAAACGTAGATCCCATATATCAGTGGATATATGTATGTACACTCGCCAACACGCATGGCATACGTGACGTTTTAATACCAAATTCCTTCCTTCCAAAGACCATGTAGAATGGAAAAGATTGATAGAGGCCGATATCCAGTAGTGGATGAAATCAAGCTGGTATAGATAGATAGAAACATAAACATTATATTCAGCGAGAAATGACTCATCAAATTGATGTATCGATATCGAGAGAGATACGATAATTTCAACACCAATTCAACATGAATTCGACATCTAATCGACGGTCATTTCTTGTTGGGTAATTAATAATTTATTTATAAAAAATAAAATAGACTGTACGTTTCTCAAAATTATATAAACCAAAAAGATGTGCATTAATTATAGAAAATATATCATCTTAAAAGTAAACAAAATTCTAGAATCAGGAATACATGCGAAGCTCGTTTGTTTATGTTAGAACAGAATGTATTCATTGTATAACATTGCTAATTAATGTTTATTTTCTATAAATAAGTCTTATAAAAAATTTCCTTGTACGAATACTTTTTGCACTCACTGTACCTACAATAATTCGTTGCGAATGAAAATAACTCTTGACAGTTTTCTTTAAGATAAAAAGGATGGGAAAGTGATTTCGCTTGTCGCGTAGGAAAATGTTAAGTTTTTGTTTTTGAATCAGCAGCTTTCGGATGAGTACAGTACCTCTTTTGACTTCGAGATTTTCTCCGGATGGACGAGAAACTCAGGATTAAATTAAATCGCGTGTAGCCGAAAATAATGCCGCTTTTGCCCTCGTGTATTCAGATATAAACGTCGCGCTCTGCCAGGCCACGGCTTGAAAATAGTTACAACATTTAGGGTGGCAACCCGTGGCTTTTAGAGCGACGCACGCGTGTTGTGACGCATGAACCTCCTCTCCATCCCATCTCCCTTCCTTATCCTCACTAATTCGATTGATTCTTCTGAAGAAAATTGTTACATCGAGCATCTCGAGACAAGAAAGCTTTAATTTAAAATTTAAAGATGGTTAATTTTGTTATTTTTTAACTTATTTTCCCTGAAAATTTCGAAGAACATTTAATTTATTTTGAACAGAAAATTAATAGGATTCTGAAATTTGAGAAAAATTAAATAAAAAGGCTGATGAAAGTTAAACGTATGTAATATAAATTAATGAACAAACATGACGTATTGCCCACAGCATATTGCACACAGAACATTGCAGAGTAAGTTCCGATAGTTGCATATTGCTAATTGGCCAATTTAAAATAAAATATTCTCATTGGTAAGCAATAAAAACTACTAAGTACCAGCCAATATGAATGGATGTGTATTATCAGGATGTGCGCTAATGGGACCCTCTTCACATTGCACACACGCACTCTCAGAAAGGATTTTTAATATCGAGAAAAAAAAATTCTTGACGTACTCAATCTTAGTACTCAATTGCAGCTCAACTACAATATAAAATTATAACTATATTAAGAGATTAAATCAATAATTTTTATTCTACTCCCTTGAATAAAATAAGATCGACATCTTGTCTTGAGACGAGTATAACATATATAAATTTAGGTTTATATATTCTTACGTTTAAAATATATCTATATCCAATGTTATATACGTGATGCTATAACATTATGGCAGCAAAGCTCTCGTGGTGTAGCGCGCTAGATGAGAGACACGAAACGAGAGATCCTGAGTCCGAGTCTCGGCCGAGCCCAGTTTTTCGTTACCGAAAACTGTAAAATTACTAACATATTCTGTAGATTTCTTTCCGTAAGAATGGAATAAGAGATTTCTTTTAGATCGATGTTTAATGTTAAATGTGTTTATTGTGTCTAACCTAAATTTTTCTGTTAAAAAAATTAATGGAATAGCCTGACACATCCATTCAAGAATATTTTATTCCAAATTAAAAAATTTTTCATTTAAGAAGAAAATATTCTTTTTTGAAGAATAAATACGATTGGCTCTATATCGATTTTATTTTATTCTAGATCGAGGAGTAATAGCATTGAATATAGAAATCTTTTCTGTAGGTGCAGTCATATTATTCACATAAAATAAAAGAACACTATATTACGGTTGTATGTGCAATGCAGTGTGTATACAATATAATCGTGTGTATAATGTGCTGTATGCAATATTGTGTGTTCAATGCGCTGTGCGTAATACGGTCGTATGTGCTGTGTGCAAACGAAGCTGTAAAAAATAATTTTGTGACCAAACGGAATCCTCCTCTCCCTTTATTTTTGTGTTTGAAAAAACCATCTTTTTATTAAACGGTTCTCTCTCTCTCTCTCTCTCTCTCTCTCTCTTGCGCGCGCGCGCGCGCACGCGCACACACACACACACACACACACACACACAAGTCGGTTCTAATTCATGATTGAAAATCGTGACCTCCATTTAATGCAACTACTTGAACACGTACGAAATATTTCCATTGGCGATTTCTGTCAGCCTCATGCTCTTTTTCCTTGACATTGCCAACGTTCCAACGATTACCAATTTTTCAAGAATGTTGCCGCGCTTGTGTAACTTCATGGTCGAAGTAGAATAGTATGCGTTGGTAACATATAATGGATAGTAGATCTTTTTATTTCAAACTCTCAAAGGATGGATGTATTGGTACTTCTAGCGGTCCATAGAATTTGCAACATTCGCCTCCAACGTTACACTTTAAACGCGTCAATCCTCTGTCTCTCCTTTGCTCGGATTATTTAAATCTTTGTAAAAAAAATATGGAAAAGATCAGAGCTTGAACAAGGAGAATTTTCATTCTGCTCGAGGTCTTCCGGTTCTCCAGATGTTTACAAGCCTCATCATCACATCTTTGACCATGGAGATTCTTTGCTTTATGGGATTTTCCATCTTTGCATATTACCAATTCCGGACAATGAAATCCACAATCTCTATGCCCCGAATAGTGTTGGGATTACCAACTCGGTCATACATGAATTTGATCTTACTCTTATTGATAGTGAACCCCATTTCCTTACTCTCGATTTTAAGCATTAGTTTGTTCATGTGTTCCACGGATATTATGAGTATTACAGTTATATAGTTGACATATCACAGATTGTTCATTCTTTTTGTTCATAAATCTTTTCTGGTCGTCCAGTGCCTTATGAATGATGTATTATCCATAGATATTGAAGAGGCGAGAATATGTATATATATATATA